CAGAGTTGGGGCAGAAAAGGATCTAGCCCAGTACTTCCCCTGCCCAGTGGAAAACTGTGCTGTAGAGCACCCAGGGTCAAAGGTCCGGGGCAACAGAGTAGTTTTGCTTACTTCTGTGAGCACTAGATGGTCACAAAGGCTGAGTAGCTTGCTCTTCAGGCCTGCAGAGGTGCCACTATGTCCCCTTCTTCAGCAGTGGAGGGGAGGACACCCAGTCCCAGTGGGTTGGTGAGGAAGCCTGTGTCCCCCTCTGTGTCAGCTCCTGGGTTAGGTTCTTCCCTGTGCGACAGTATTGTCTGGATTTGACAGACCCCCCCCAAAGGTACCCTTTTGCTCAAGCTCTGGCTTTCTTGTGAGTTACAATCTCCCTCCACCTGCTTTCAGTCAGCTCTTGGCACGTTGTCCCCACACTAAAATCAGACCCTTTCCCATTCTGTTCCAGAACCATACTGGTTTAATCTCTCCCATTCCTGCAGGGTTCTCCAAGTCTTCAGCTTGGTTCCTCCTACAATTCCTTTTTCCTTTCTTGCTCTGTCATTCCTGTTCCTCTGACCTATGAAGAGACACTTTTTTTTACCAGATGTCAGCAGAAAGTCTTGATAAATTGATTTTCCTGTTCAGATTTCCTACTTACTGTGCTTCCATTTAAATAGATAACAGCTAAATGACTAACAGTATTGCTGGTCCGAGAGAAATATGACCGAGTACGGCGAGTTCAAGGTGGAGTCGTTGTGCACAGAAGTATTTTTCATGACAACTTCAGAAAACTGCGCAGAATACAGAATTTGTTCAGAAGGGGGTATTTCCACTTATCAGACCTAGAGATGAAAGCAGGTCCACCTGAGTCATGAAAACTTTTCTATTTCGTGGCACTATAGATCCAAACTGTCTCAAGGTGACTATTTAGCTGAAAATCCTTGCCTGTGACCAAGGCTCAGCTATTACAATTCATTGTTAGGAGTACTGCCAACAAGTCTCTGCTGCCACTCAGCAGAAAAGTCTGGACGCCTGTGTGCATATTAACAAATTCTCAGTGGCCATAAAGTTGTTTTAATCTCAGGCTGTCTAATTTTTTTTAGTCCTTACCCAAGATTCATCTTCTGCCACCAATCACTACTTAAATGTTTTGTAAACATCATGCTTTGTGCTCTTCTGAAGAATTTTCTTTGTCAAGCTTCCTTGAAAGGTAACTATTGTAAGCTCATATGCTGTTTACAGGGAAAGAGGAAAACATACTCATATATTTATGTTACAGAGACGTTAGATAAGCTCAGAAGCTACTGCAAACTCACAGAACATTTACACATACACAGTAAATATTCTCCATATGTAAATGTTTATATTTGCTATATATGTTTACATGCATGTGTGTGTACATACAAAAGCATCAACATAAAGACTAAGCCTGCTCTACTGTGGTCTGAACCAGTCTGAAGTCCAGACTGGGAGTGGAAAGCACTTGACTTCCGTACTTTTGTTCATTGAAATTTTTGGGGAGCTCCTTGGGGCACATAACCCTATCGAGAGCTACGCAAGCACCAGAAGAGGGTGTGTTTATGCTACACTGTTGCTTTTCAGGATGGAGGCTGTGTTTTTTCCTTTGTTTTCTTTGCTCGGTGACAGTAGCCTAGTCCATGATGAGGTTCTTACTGCCATGGCACTACGGATCTCCATGACAATACTTATGGATGAACTTGTCTCCCTAGAAATGTTTGGCTACCTCTCCAAAGGTAGGGTAGGTACAAGACAAGAAGAGTCCCCCCTGCTCCTTACCTGAGTGTAGGAGCTGTGATTATCCTTTGCGCAAGGTGGCAGCAAAAGAAAGCTCTTCAAACTCGTTCCTCTTTCCCCTGCACACCTCTTATTAAGGAGAGTAACTGTCTCAACTGTATTAATTGCTCCTGTGCCCAGCCTTCCCTTCTCCCCTGCCTGTCTGAAACCTCCAGCAGGTTGTCCTACCATCTCTCATGTCACAGCAGCGAACATGGCCATGTAAGCTTCCAATTCAGATTTCACCCACCCTGCACAGGACAGAGTTGGGGCAGAAAAGGATCTAGCCCAGTACTTCCCCTGCCCAGTGGAAAACTGTGCTGTAGAGCACCCAGGGTCAAAGGTCCGGGGCAACAGAGTAGTTTTGCTTACTTCTGTGAGCACTAGATGGTCACAAAGGCTGAGTAGCTTGCTCTTCAGGCCTGCAGAGGTGCCACTATGTCCCCTTCTTCAGCAGTGGAGGGGAGGACACCCAGTCCCAGTGGGTTGGTGAGGAAGCCTGTGTCCTCCTCTGTGTCAGCTTCTGGGTTAGGTTCTTCCCTGTGCGACAGTATTGTCTGGATTTGACAGACCCCCCCCAAAGGTACCCTTTTGCTCAAGCTCTGGCTTTCTTGTGAGTTACAATCTCCCTCCACCTGCTTTCAGTCAGCTCTTGGCACGTTGTCCCCACACTAAAATCAGACCCTTTCCCATTCTGTTCCAGAACCATACTGGTTTAATCTCTCCCATTCCTGCAGGGTTCTCCAAGTCTTCAGCTTGGTTCCTCCTACAATTCCTTTTTCCTTTCTTGCTCTGTCATTCCTGTTCCTCTGACCTATGAAGAGACACTTTTTTTTACCAGATGTCAGCAGAAAGTCTTGATAAATTGATTTTCCTGTTCAGATTTCCTACTTACTGTGCTTCCATTTAAATAGATAACAGCTAAATGACTAACAGTATTGCTGGTCCGAGAGAAATATGACCGAGTACGGCGAGTTCAAGGTGGAGTCGTTGTGCACAGAAGTATTTTTCATGACAACTTCAGAAAACTGCGCAGAATACAGAATTTGTTCAGAAGGGGGTATTTCCACTTATCAGACCTAGAGATGAAAGCAGGTCCACCTGAGTCATGAAAACTTTTCTATTTCGTGGCACTATAGATCCAAACTGTCTCAAGGTGACTATTTAGCTGAAAATCCTTGCCTGTGACCAAGGCTCAGCTATTACAATTCATTGTTAGGAGTACTGCCAACAAGTCTCTGCTGCCACTCAGCAGAAAAGTCTGGACGCCTGTGTGCATATTAACAAATTCTCAGTGGCCATAAAGTTGTTTTAATCTCAGGCTGTCTAATTTTTTTTAGTCCTTACCCAAGATTCATCTTCTGCCACCAATCACTACTTAAATGTTTTGTAAACATCATGCTTTGTGCTCTTCTGAAGAATTTTCTTTGTCAAGCTTCCTTGAAAGGTAACTATTGTAAGCTCATATGCTGTTTACAGGGAAAGAGGAAAACATACTCATATATTTATGTTACAGAGACGTTAGATAAGCTCAGAAGCTACTGCAAACTCACAGAACATTTACACATACACAGTAAATATTCTCCATATGTAAATGTTTATATTTGCTATATATGTTTACATGCATGTGTGTGTACATACAAAAGCATCAACATAAAGACTAAGCCTGCTCTACTGTGGTCTGAACCAGTCTGAAGTCCAGACTGGGAGTGGAAAGCACTTGACTTCCGTACTTTTGTTCATTGAAATTTTTGGGGAGCTCCTTGGGGCACATAACCCTATCGAGAGCTACGCAAGCACCAGAAGAGGGTGTGTTTATGCTACACTGTTGCTTTTCAGGATGGAGGCTGTGTTTTTTCCTTTGTTTTCTTTGCTCGGTGACAGTAGCCTAGTCCATGATGAGGTTCTTACTGCCATGGCACTACGGATCTCCATGACAATACTTATGGATGAACTTGTCTCCCTAGAAATGTTTGGCTACCTCTCCAAAGGTAGGGTAGGTACAAGACAAGAAGAGTCCCCCCTGCTCCTTACCTGAGTGTAGGAGCTGTGATTATCCTTTGCGCAAGGTGGCAGCAAAAGAAAGCTCTTCAAACTCGTTCCTCTTTCCCCTGCACACCTCTTATTAAGGAGAGTAACTGTCTCAACTGTATTAATTGTGTTTTAAAAAACATCTCTTATTGCTAGTGGTTAATACATATGTGAATGATATGAGTTACTGGTATTTTTCACTCCGGGAATACTGTTACACTTGTTTCTCCATTTTTAACCAATATTCTCCAGGAGAAAGGCTAGAAAACTGCACACAGAGAAAGGAAAACCATGAAACAAATTCCCCTTAAATCACTGATTTACCCTTCTAAATAGGATTTTTTTTTTTCAATAAAAACACAACTGCTTTGGGAGCAAGGATCAAGACAAAAAAAAAAAGTGGAAGCTCAATGCTTAATTAAGATGTCTTCACACTAGCTGACAAATTCTGATGAATGTACCCATAGTACACGTTGTTTAAACATAACAGTTTTGCATTTCTATAGGAATAAGTAGTCCGAAGAATCTGGCTTTCGAAATCCTTGCTGGCAATTACCCAGGTGAAAGATTAAGTGTGGAGTCCACACTGGTAGCTCCCCTGGCCCTGTTTAGCATTTGCTGTTTGGATATTTTTAGAGGTTTTTTTGTTTGCTTGTTGTTTTGGGGAATACAGTTACTTTATTCTCCTGGAGCCCAATGTGTTGAATGGAATATTTTACTGCAAGTGTTAGAGCTGATCAAGTTACTTTAAGTCTCAAAATATTCCTAACATTTTCCTCATATGGAAGAAAACCTTAGGTGAATATTTTCTGTAATATTCTTTATAAACTTCAACTCTGTTCAAGTCAAAGAAGTAGTACACTGACTGCAGGAAGCGCTTGATATAGCCAGTATCTGAACTATGAGCAGAACTGACTATGGTGTCCAATTTTAATATTACTGAAACACAAGTGAAGTGAACAGCTTGTTCATTCCCCCTTCTGTACACCAACGATGTTTAAAATGTAAACCTAGACTGCTGCTTATTTTGAAAAAGCAGGGATTACTCACCTTGAAAGTACAATATAGTAAGTGTGATCTTTATTCAGAGACATGGTAAAAGAATAGCCAGTCAACTTTGGATATGAACATTCTCCACAACCTTAAAGCTTATTTTGATGGCTGTAATCTTATTCCAAAAACACTGTGTTTAATAAAAATTAATTTTGGAACTCGAAGAATATTTTATTATGGAATACAAAAATACTATCTATGTAAAAACAATAAGTTAGTTTATTTACAGTACTTTACACTATTCTGCTCTAGGATTCTAGATTCTCTTTGCATTGGATTTATTTTCATTACTTTACATGCCTTTATAATTTTGCACAAAGCATTTCCAAGAGCATGTCATCCATATTCACTGCTCCAATGATGGGCCTAAAGAATAGTTCAGCAATCACATTAGCATTAATAGATCTTAACAAGGATAGAACAACATTCAGCTTGGCAAATCTGGCTTCATCACCTCTGTGAATGAGTCTGACATGTTCATTTAGAGCCTGCTGTGCTTCCCGCTGCAGTCCTTCAATGTACTGTGTACACTGCAGTCCAGGTAGATCTGAAAAGAAAAAAAAATTCTATTGTTTACATTGGTTTTGTCTACAAAGCAACATTCTTCTTACAGAACAACTACTAACAGCTGACAGATTGTATTTATCACTCCAGAAATGAAGCAAATGAAATTGCTAGGAGACTTCTTGTATGAAGAACCAACACACCAAATTTTATAGGGTAATTAAAAATCTTATCATGGTGGTGTTCTGGACATTCAGTACTCTTCTTCACTACACAAACTTGAAATACCACCTTTGCCAACATTCCTCTAGGTATTAAATAAATCAGCTGATAAAACAAAAACTTTGAAGAATGCTCTCCAAAACACCTTTAGAGTGACAAATGCAACCTGTAAACAGCAGGAAAGACAAGAAAAATAACTTGTTAACTTGTTCACTCGTACAAAGCTCACATCTTTTGACAACTGTTTCTGAGCAGCAAGAAGCGTTAACTCCAATGTAGGACAAAGTTTGCTGGGGAACCACAGTAAGGACACCCAAGGACAGAGAGTCTAAATAACAGCGGGAGTGCAGGAAGAGCCACCGTATCCCACTTTCACACATTTAGGTGGTGTATTTAAGAAGCGCCGTGTCCAACCTGCCAGCCACCTTCCAGGTCAGTCACCCACACGATAACCAACCGCTTGGCAGAGCCGCACCTACGCGAGCCTTCACAGAGAGCCGACGGCAAAAAAAAAAACCCAAAAATAATCCTAAATGCTACACACAAAGGCGAAGCAGCTCAGCGAAGCCCTGAGCCTTGTCTGGCTTGCTGTCCACGGCGTGCAACCCCTCCGGGGAGAGCAATCCTCGGAGGGCCGGTGCCCGGCGGCGGCGGGAGGGTCCTCCCTCTGAGGAGAGGCCGCCAGGCGCCCCACTCGGCAGCGAACGAGGAGCGGCCGCTGCCTCCTCACTTACCCTCAGCCGCTGCTGCCTCCTCACTTACCCTCAGCCGCTGCCGCGGGTTTGTTTTGTTGGCGGTACAGCCGCCAGCCCCCGGGACCCCCGACCTACCCGCAGCCGGACCCCCCCCAGGCGGTAGCGGCGGGCGGGGGGGCCCTAAACGGCTCCCTCCCTCCCCGTCAGCCGGGGCCCTGAGGACGGGACAGTCCGGGGAAACCTTACCCCGCGTTCCATCCCCTTCCACCACCTCTCTCCCCCTGAGGAAAAGCCTCGGGTCCGCCCCGCTTCGCCGTTAGCCCGCTCCCCCGCCTGCCGCCCCGGCTCCCCGGGATGAGAGAGGGTGTCGTGCCCCCCGCCCCCCGCCGCCCCGTCCGGTCACTCACCCGGGTTGAAGAGCACCGTTCCCTTGAGGTAAGCGTACTCTTTGGTGCTGATATCCAGGCTCCAGCACTTGGCCAGGAAGCCCTTGATGGCCTGAATCTCGCCGGCCGAGGGCAGGTGCGGGCCGCCAGCGGGGCCGTGGTGAGGCCGGCCCGGCGGCGCCGGTCCCCGCGGCGGGGGCTGCTCGCCCTGCCGCCGGGTGGTGAGGATCCGCTGCAGCATGCTGGGCTCCGCGCTCTCCACCGTCTCCAAGTGCACCCGCTCCTGCGCCAGCCCCAGCACCAGCAGCGGCGCCCAGCAGCTGCGGACCAGCAGGAGCTGCTCGTCCAGGGGCAGCTCCTGGAAGCAGGGCACGTTCTGGACGAAGCGCAGCGTCTTCACCAGCACGGCCGAGGCCGCCTTGCAGGCCACCTGCGGGCTCCTCAGGGCCACCCGCCGCCGCCGCGACCCGCCGCAGGGACAGCCGCGGGACGCCTGCCCCTGCCCCCGCCTCGGCCCCGGCCCCGGCGGCGACGCCGCCCGCTCCTGGCTCCTGAGGATGTTGTAGAGGATGCTGCTGTGCCGCCGGCCGTCCGCGCAGCACCGGCAGCAGCGCTCCACGCAGGCCATGGCACCCCCGGGGGTACCGACACCCAGCGGCCACGCCGGAGCCGCCTGCGAGGCTCGACGGGGCGGCGGCGGCGACCGTCGCTACAGCCTCGGGCCGCGGGGAGACACGCACTGCTCGGCTTCTGCCCGGCGCTGGACTGATTTATAGCCGGCGGTGGTGCGTGTGTGTGTGCGTGTAGCCGCAGGCGCTGTACCAGCGGTTCAAAGGGGCAGACACTCTTTACTGGCTGGAAAAGAGAGAGAGAGGGGAGGGGAGAGGGGGTGGAGGGGAAACAATAGGAAAAAAAGAAAACCCTCCTCCTCCTCCTCCTTTCCTGAGGCAGCGATGCCTAGAGGGAGCCGGCGAGCCTAACGCCCCTGCCCATCGGCTGCGGCGGGATAAACCGCCCAACCCCGCCTCCTCCTCCTCCTCGCCCCTTCTCTCCCCCGGCCCGGTTTATATGATCCCGGGTCTCTTTGGGCAGGCCAGGGCAGGGCCGGCCCCCGCCATGTCCCGCCACCGTGGAGGGCAGCTCCCGCCGCCCCCCCGGGACCTCCGCGGGGCCTCGTCGCAAAATGGCGCCCGACTCCGCCGCCCTCCCGGTGTGTAGATGAGAGGTCTGAGGCAGGAGAGAGAAAAGGAGTGTTGGGGGGGAGTGGGTCGGAATAAAATTCCCGCGGGAGGGTAAAAAGGAAATGCAACTAATGATACCAAGGGCTTTTGCATATGCCTGTCCCAAGGAGTGATGCCCCGTGTGCCTGATTAACACCTCTGGGCTGCTGTGCGGGAGGGAGAAGCAGATTTGTTCCTGCCCAAATTAGGGTGGCTCTGTGAGGTTGGGGTCCAAGCAAAGGGCCCCCGCAGCGTCTATGTTGATCCCCCTGTGAAATCGTGCCCTGTGAATAATTCCCTTCCTCTGCTTCACAATGCATGGCCCGTGTTTCTGATCTCATGTTGTTCCACCCATCAGTTTAAAAAATTTCCATTTTCCTTTCAGGCTTTGCTTGTCCTGAAGTGGATCTTTCCTCCTAGACTTAAGTACCCACTTTTCTGAGACCCATGTCCTCTAAATGGCATATGGACTCCAAAGCAAGAAAATAATCCTTCCAGCCCTTGACGTTTACACAGGAGGGATAGAAGAATAGTGATTGTCCAAATGTGATTTTACTCTTGAATGAAAAATAAGGACTTTTACTTTCTCCATTGGGCTAACTAAAAGTGCATGCAGCAGAGAGGAGTACTTAATCACTACAGAAAGTAAAGTGTTTCTTCTGCCTGCTGCATATGGGCTAAACCAGAAACATTTTATATTTCTTGTCATCTGGAAGAACCTTGGCACAGATTTAGAGAAAGTAGCCAGTTGCAAGCAACCTCTGTATGTGCTCCATCAGTATCTGCTACCAAGGGATGTCTAAATCACCCCTGGAGAGCCGTATTTTCTCTCAATGAAAGTATACATGTTTTTTAAGCAAATACCTTTGAGTGCTATTGATTTCTTAGAAACAAAATAACTTTAGGTTGGATATGTGCAACTTTATTTTCCCTGTGAAGCTGATCCTACCCTATCAGCTTACGCAGTCATATAGTCATTTCTCTCTATTTCTTCACAATTGGACTCAGAAGGGATATTCTTTACAAATGGCACAAAAGACACTTCTATATAAAGCTATATAAAGCACTGGTTCATAGCTGCCTCAGGTAAACCTTGCTTTCCAGATGCAAGTTGTCCAAAATCTAGATTATTATACCTTTGTTTTTATCTAAGAAGTGCGATTTTTTTTCCACAGATCCAAATGTGATTGAGCCCTTATTTGCTTTACAGTATTGGAGAGCTCTTACAGTGCACCAGTGTGGTGATGTCTACAGTTTGCAGACAGGTCAGTTGGGTACCTAGAGTAGAAAACAATGACATTTCACCAAACATCCTTTAAGGAAAAATAATGCTTAGAATTCTAAAACAAATTTAATAATATAAAATTGTACAAAATTTTTCATCTGGATGATATCACTGGTAATGGAAAAACACTAATTTATTTGGCTGGAATATTTCCTTGCCAGTCTAGATTGTTTCCTGCTATATTCATCAGGATTTTCTCAACATTCTTATGTTAGGATTTTAGAGGGTTTCATTTTTCCTTTTGAGTCTTTTTCCTTCTTAGTGTTTGTGGGGTTTTTTGTTGGGTTTATTTTGGTTTTTTTTTTGCTGGGGGGGTTGGGGGTCGGGGTGTTCCACTAACTTCAGAGATAAATCTTGCCAAGTTTTAGAAAACAAGCATCCTTAAGCTTTTAGTTGGCTTCAGTAGCACTTTTCCCAACTGTGGGATCTAACTGTGGTTTTTATGAGTTTGTAACTTGGAAGGTATCTATGGGAAAGCATTGTACAGTCGAGACTCGGATCATTGCCTTTGCATTTTCAACCTTGGACTTCAATTGTGGGAACATTCTGCTTCTGATGGGAGGACGCTGCCTACACAGGGCCATAGACAAAGGCAATATTTAATTTTTATATCAGGTCTAATATAGAAATTTTTCCTGATGTAGCAATATTGGTTGCAGGTGTTTAATTTTTCAAGTCATTTCTCTTTAAAGTCTCAAATATAGATGGAATTCTACTGTCATATAATGATTTTGCTGACACAATTCATTTTCTAAAACAACTTACACAGAAACTCTTTGCCTTTGATATCTATGTCAAAATGGGTATCCCATACTGAAACTCAAATTTGATTTACTATACAGTGCCAGAAACTACACTACTGTAGTTAAAAGTGTACCTCCTTCTCTCATAAGCACTTATTTCTAACTCTTAAGGTATCTTAATGTATCCTAATGTACATGGCATTTTATTAAGGGTAGATTGTCTCTTTCCCAGCTTAGACATCAAGAATGTTCCAGAAATTTTTATTAGTGTTTTTCACTTTTGAAAACTTAAAAATTGATGTTTGACAATTTGAACAGTCTTTATTTTCAAGCCTGAGTTCTGCCTGTCCATGGCATTCAAGCTGAATTAAAGGCAACAAACCTTTCTATTTAAAACCAAAAAGAAAACAAAATCCCTCACAGGTAATGGTGTTTTGATGGAAAATGCATGAAAATGCTTTAAGCAAAAAGTGGATGTTTCTGGTTTCTGCTGAAAGATCTAATGTTATGTGAGTATTACCAAGCTCCTTGTGGTACAGTCTTGAATAGATGCTTCCAGACAAAGGATTACTTGTTTGTGGCTTTTTTGGTTGTTTTTGTTTGGGTGTTTTTTGTGTGTTTTTTTTTTTTTTTAAAAAACTCAAACAAAAGCCTTGGATATGAAGGTGATACAGTGCAGTCTTGGCAGCCTCACTAACTTTCATGTTGCTCTTCAGTGTCTCCCTATCATTCATCTGGTAGCACATTTGGTTCTTGGCCAGAGGGCAAGACTTCAGTTTCAGAGCAAGACCAAACAAGCATTTGTTTTTATGCCGTCAGTGCTTTAGTGCACCATTAGCTTGAGAGCAAGCTTTTTTTCCAGTGAGGAATTGCATCCTGATATCCTCTAAATACCTACTGTTCCTCCCAGTATAAGTGTTAAGAAATAAAATTTGATCTTAAGGCTCAATTTGGTGATTAGCACAAGAGAAGTTATCCTTTCCTCTGGAGGAAAAAAAAAAAAAAAAAAAGAGTGTAGAATATTGTATGGGGGTATGATTAGCAAGATGTCTTTTGTATAAGAGAAATGCTCCGTTGAAACAAAGGTTTGGAATTTAAGTGTATTGTTGTGTTTCGTGCGTTTCTCATTGTGACTGTCTAATTGTTAGATTGACCACCAGTCACAGTTTCCCTGTTTTACTGGGGTGTTTACTTAAGAATAAGTGGGCATTAAGGAAGAAGTATCACCATGGGCAATGTTCTACCTATACTGTGTACCATGTATTCCTGATGGCACTGTTGCCTCCTTACTTGATGTGAAATGGATTCTGTGAGAGGATCATATTGAGAGCCTGGTTGATTCTGTCAGAGCCAAAGACAGTTGCTGTGTACCCAGTCAAGGGATGCTGACCTGATTGAGTTTGCAGGGCTTTTACAGCTGCCCTAAGGCTGTGAATTGACTGTGTCAGGTATCCCACCACCAGCTGCGGTTACTGTATCACACCACCAGTGTTTGTTCTGGATCAGGATGAGCATATGGTGACATTTTTATGGAATTAGCCAGACTGTGTAAAAAAAGAGTTTATAACAGATTTAGATCTTTATGTCAGCTGCTTGAAAGTAGGTGATGGTTGATCTGGTACAAACTGTAATGATGCAAAAACAACCCTTCAGCATATCTTAAATAAATCTGAACCTGCAAAAGGGATTTCTTTGTAATTTGTTTTATTTTATTTTATTAGTCACGTTAGTGCTTTGCATCATGTGACCATGGCATTTTGGATACAGAGGTAGGAATTCTGAATTTAAATTTGCTGTTACTGGACCATACACTTCACTATCATATTTGCACTGGCAGATAGCAAATTTAAGGAGGCCTGCACACATGCCAGACTTTTTTTCTTGCACCCATATGCTAATTAACCATAGCTAATGCAACTAGATTTCAGTGAAGGCAAAATTAGGGGAATAGAAGCAACACTGTAAACTTTTTCAGGTTAAAGACACTCAGCTCCTTCTCATTAAAAAAGTTTAATCAGTCTTTGGGCTCCAGTAGGTTAGCATTAAAAAGGTTCTTTGGACCTGTGCTGTAAAGAAGAGCTGTGAGTCCCAGCAATCTAAAACTGTACCTTTAAGTATGCTGTTGGGAGTTGGACACTTCAGTATTTAAATACAGATAATAATTTCTTTTTTTGTCCAAAGTGAGTTCATACAGCTCCCAAACATCTGCCAGCCTGGCATCCTTACAGGTGCAGTTCTGTAAGGCCAGCTGAGCAAATCTAGTACCTTGTTGGAGCCAAACATAGGCACTTGTTGACACTGCTTTCCTTGTGCCAGCTCTGGTACTCACCTGACTCCTTGGTGAGCTAAATCCTTTTACTAAGCTGGCAGCATTTTTGTACCAGTCATTACAAGAAAGGTAGCAGAGAAATGAGTTACCTTCAAATGTGCTCTCCTTGCTTTATTTTCCCCAGTGATGCTTTTGAAGTTTCTGCCCAACCTGACAAGCTGTGACATTCACGTGATATGGCAGAATTCTGTGTGGTTGAATCAGCAAAAAACTAACCCTTCAAGAAATAACATGTAGTTTTCTGCCAGTTTACACTGAACTCATTCAGCTAGGGATCAGATGAGTGCCAGAGCAGGTGGAAAGGAGTGGCCTGACCTCCCTTCCAGGAGTGGGAGGAAAGAGGGGAAAGAGTAGGACCACTGCTGCAAACCATTATTCCACTCAGCCACTGTGTGGAACTGCT